ATTTGACAGGTCGATTCAGAATACTGTTAATAAAATGTACGATTTGGTCGTCATTAAATCACTAGCAAAAAAATTAAATTTGCTTACAGTTTTTAATTTTGAACTTAATCTTATTATTGCCTGTCAACGTACTTAAATAGATATTGACAATAATTTTAATTATTCCAAAATATAGACACCTTAATCTAATATTAATCCATTAATACCTAACTATTGGTGGATAGCGCATTACTTAATCTGCAATTAATATTCTACGATTTATTTTACTTGAATAAAAATAAAACTCAGTATCGACAAATAGTTGTTATGAATACTTGCGAATTTATTATAATATATGTTTTAAGAATATTCTTAACGAACAAAAACCATAATAGGTCTATGATTTATTAGTTTATGGTATGATTCACAGAGGATTATATGTACCAAAGTCTCCTGCAGCAGCATAGGCGCATATTTAGACCTAATCTATGGCAAGGGGGTGCTAAAGTTGCAATAAGGCATAAGATAAAGAAGCTAAATTAGAAGTAAGGTTTAGATTTTGGGGGTCCTTCGTCCACCTATAGACCACCATAGTTTGAAATACATTTGCCCAATTTTAATTTGCTTATTTCTGCAGCTTACAGGCTTTCTTATTTTACTTAATTTATGTGTTCGGGAAATTAGCACTAATGTAAATTCTACAATTTATTTTTCGTTTTAACAGTTGAAATAATCATAAAAGTTAATTATTTAGTTCTATAACAATAAAGCACGTTAGTAAATGTAAGTATAATTATTAAGTATGAAGCACGTCTCAAATACGTAGAAAAAAATATGTTTAGTAATACGAGTATGTTAGAAAAAAAAATGTATATAAGTAAAAGTTGGAGGTTAATAATTTTTCTATCTTTTTGTTTCATAGAATCTCTGGTAAAACTATATAATATTATCTGAATTTCATAACCTTAATCCTTGGGCTTCGTTTGCCAGTCATAATCTTTTCTGCGGTGATATCTTTTGTAAATAATTACTAATCTTGATACAGTCACCCGCGAGTGCTTACTAACTCTATTTGTCTTTGTTCGGAGATTGTATTTACGACTTGCGTGCAATCAACGAAGAATCAAATAAATCAGAAGGGAAACAATGGTCGATAGAATTTAGTACTTGATTTGAGCTTTTATTTCAGTAGACGCCGTGTTATTTGAAAATACTTATGTGGGCTTTAAAATAAAATAAGTACCTAAGAAATATATTATATATTTATATATATATGAGTATAATATACATATACATTTAAAATATGACGAATAAATATACAATGTACATGGCTTGAAAAGAATAAACTTAATGTGTGTAGGTATCGGAATACATTAGGGACTTCCATTTAAAAAAATGCTAATAATGCATCAGGAAATATAAAAAATTAAAGATATAGTCCATAATATAATCGCGTATAGGTGTGATACATAATGTATTATGCATTATGATGGAATATAAAAATATAGTATATTTATTTAATAGTCTTTAAATTTTGAGTTATCAAGCAAACTATACTAAAATGCATTCAGAAAACATTCATGTTAAATATTTTTTACAATTTTCAACTTATTGGTTGGATTTTTTTGAATCTAATAACTGTTAGACAAGTTTTAGTCAAACATATTATGCGTATGGAAGAAAGTATATGGATTATTATAAAATTATTACTAAACTTACACATTTATATACACATAGGTAAATCATACAATTTCAAAAATATATCTACAACACTCAATTTGTCAATGTACATGGAAGCTGATATAGTTACTGCCTTAAGTGTGAATAACAAAATAATATAACATGTTCATATAAATTACTATCAAGTTATAAATGTCACGGCCACATATTTCTTTCTTTGAAAATTATCTCATTTTGTGTCACTTGCTAACAAGATTTTCTTCCAAGACAATTTCACTTTAACCAACCATTTATTATTTATGGTTTTAAACTGTTTAAAGGTATAAAAGTTTACCCAGTGATCAAAAGTTTTTCTTACTTGAGTGTAACGTTTACGAACAACATTTTCTAATATGGCCATTTCTTTACGCCGCAAATGCCTCTTATACTGCAAATCATTAATTATCATTATGAGATAAGAGGACGTCGTAAGACTATAACTTAGATCCACAATTATTGTTGTTTCCATTTTCCTTTCACATTACATAGCAAATTTAATGTTCAGAGTAATCCATTTTACTCCGTTATTTATACGATTAGAGTAAATTGATTTATTATTAAATTTGAAATTATAATTACGTAAGAATTTTTTTTTATATTTCAATATTGAAGCAAGCGGTAAGAGGAATTTAAATTGTACAAAACATTCACAATTTTAAAATGCTATCAAAACATATTTATAATTGAAATGTCAATAAAAATCAAGTATTTAGTATTTACCTAGATGTTATTAGTTTTTTCTTTAAATAATGAAATACATCAATTTATACTTAAGTATTATTACCCAATAAAGAAAGAGTATAAATAAATTAGTCTGAAAGTAAAATTTGCTACGCCTTACGTTTGTCAACGGAGACTACACGTGAGGGTATATACCATCCTCTGAATTATAAACTAAAATGTTAAAAACACTTTGAATATTAATTACTAATTACTAAGTAATATGGTGACAAAGTCGCCAAGAAATTTGAACGTTTAAGCACTTGACTATTTTTGTATACCTAAACCAATGCTACGCCAAAAATCATTATTCGAATACACGACCCAACTTGTTTACATCCTTGAAATCCTCAATAATTAAATAAGATAATCAATATAGTGAGCACATGGTTAATTATTGGTTAAATTAATGAATAATGACTAACTCATTCCAGCGACGTGAATGAAAAGCTCGCCGTGTTCTCTTATAAACCTCTTTCGTGTCTTCTGGTCCCCGTTAAGTCGATCTGTGATGAGTTTAGGATCAAAAATGTGTCATACGTGAATTTAAAGCTATCCCCGACCAGGCTTAATCTATGGACTTGGCGTTTTGTAAGCTTAATGAGGTGGTCTGATATAACACAAGGAAATTATAAAAGGATTATAATGAAACGCATGCGCAATTAGTGTATACCACAACGGATAAATTAATTATAAGTACCTACCTATATACGTATACTTGTTAGTATCGGGTTTTTGTGTTTCATACAATTTCATAAACTATTAGTGTCCATATGCATCGAAGTGTTGTTATGCCTAGAATGGTATATACCTCATATACCTTATACTATTATACCAATAATAAATTACTAACACTTATATTAGCTATATAAGTCTCTCTCAATTTCTTTTTCACTGCCTATGTATGACATACAAATCAAATTTGACATTTTCCATTTATTGTTTTTTGTTTAGATTGTCTCACTCTATCGTGACTCGTGGATCTATTCTTTTTGCGCACCACACATCTCCTTGTAGATCCTATTTTTCAGACATACCTATAATGACTTAATCTCGTAATATACTTATACATATACTAATCATATTATAATATTGATCATGTTCAATTAACTCCGACGGCTCTATATAATTTTCTATTTTATTCGAAATGTACCTACACCTTGTTTGTTTGTTTTTATTTTTTTTTCTGCAATATATAATACGTATCCAGCAGGCAGGTCCTAGTATAATATTATACTTTATTATAATTAAATTTAAAAAACCAGTTACTGAAAATTGGAATGTTTCAATTTTATATTTGACAAAAAAAAACTATTTATATCACCACATGTTGACTTGATACACTATATATATACAATAGATTTTACTCAATACTGACATTAATATATTTGTTTTATTTTGCTATCATAATCAACTCTTAACTTATCATAGTTTACAACTATTTGAAAACCATCGACCGTTTAAAGGTCTTGGTTTTATTTAATATATTTAATTGACCAAGTAGCTAATTAAAATATTATTTTTATCACATATACCTATCGTATTTATTATTAATATTATATAACCCGGTCAGACTGTTTTTGATTAAGATCGTCTGACAGTAATGTTTATACTATAAAATGATTTAATTATTTCAAATACGAATAAGGATGGGTCATAAAGACGTATAATAATAGTTTAACATTAAATACAGTTAAAAATGTTATTTAATTTTTTAGACTTTTATCATTAAAAAGTACATAAAAAACATTTTATGTTTTTAAGACAAATATTTCAATATTATGACGTAAAAAAATAGTACACATTCCTTTATGTTGAGTGAAAATTAAAAGGAATAAATTGCATGAAATATAATATAATAAAAATGCAAATTTACCTGTATTTAGGTAAATAAATATTTACCTTGCATTAATAATATTATGTGTTTTATGCACTTTTCATTAATAATAGTTTGTAAAATAAATATGATACTCTTATTCCATGTCGCATAAGCAATCGCAAAACATTTGATGAAACAATTGTGAGCTAATAATATGGTCCCTTAATCATGATTTAGTGACCCGTAATTATTGGTCCATTAAACTTTATTCGACCATTAAATTTATCAATTTTTTATGTAAACAATTCTTACTGTTCATAGTTCATAGTAATGTTCAGTTTTAGTCCCATCTTAAAAATTATTATGCAACTATTTAAGGTACCTACAATGTTTTCCCGACTAAACGACGAGTGTTTTTCGCGTCTGCTTTTGCATTTGCCTTTTCATATCTATTAGATGAGAGTGCCAATGAGTGATACTGCGATATAAATAATACATAATTTATTTATTAAAATAATACCTATATTTGCATTTTAAATGACAAATACGTGCAAATGATAGAATCAAATTACCATGTACTATAACGATATATTACGTAAACATTTGCTATCTTTTTATATAATTCTTAGAATTTCAAGAACATGTCTATTTGAATATTTTTTGGCACACAATTTCATCATATTTTAAGCTTTTAAATAACATAAATGTCAGTACTCAATTTATTATTAATTATAGTTTGTGAGTAAATATTAATTTTTTTTAGTCGAATAATGTCAAATGAAAAAAGGTACAAGTACACAATATCCTCAAACAACGGGATTTTATCATCGGAACAAAGGGATTTTTTTGAAATTAATGGATATATTATCATTAAACACTTGATAAATGAAACCTTATTGGACCAATTCAAGTAATTAAAATTGTATTATATTGTACTTACATATATTATTAGTGATGGCAATACATACAACGACATAATCCGAATATTCAACTCATATTTTTACTCATTCAATATCCTATAAAAGCAATAGGGTGTAAGGCCATATTATGTACATACTATTGATGATGATTGGCACTCTAACTAAATTGTTGAATATTTTAATAATTTTGTTTTCACTGTTCTTGTTTAGACAAAGATTCATCGATATATGTGAAGATAAGGTTAACCGAGGAGGAATAACCGTGATGAAAGATATATCATCGGTGAAAAGAAATCTAAGAGCAATTTCTAATGAACGTGTCGTTAATAAAATTCAAGACATTGTATGGGATGATGTATTCGAACAGTACTTTCTACATCCAGAAGTAATTCTTTTTTTTTTATTCTTTTTTTTTTTTTATTTTTTTTTTTTGCGGTACCATATGGGTGCTCTAGGACATAATGGGTTTTAATAAAAATAATAGGTGCAACTATTCCTACAATTGTCGGGGGTGCTGAAACTTTAGATAACTTAGTAAGTTATTTTTGTGCTTATGTAGCATTATACACACATACATAATATTAAATGTACACATTATTTTCTTATATCAAGTGAAAAATTGTATTAATTATAATAAAATAATAATATACAGAAGTACAAAATAAAAAGAGATTATTGAATAATAGATAAAGGTATACGGAGAAAAATTGAATTACTACTTACGCCAATGTATAATATAATAAGCGATGTACCATTTTTGAGAATACACAAAAAAGTATTGAAAATTTGGAACACCAACTACTTAACTTATCTACGGTATTTCGTAATTAAACACACGTCACGATGGCTTATTCGAAATTATTTGTATGTTTATTATTAGTTTTATTTATAATTGTTCTCAATTCATCGTCGATATAATAACGTAGGTAGGTATAGATAAAATAATAATATGTTATTTAAGTTTATTATATACCTAACATATTTCTCCATACATATTACATAGGTATACCTATGATATGGTTATATATCGTTTCAGCGTATTCGAATGTATGTCAGTCAGTTTACGGGTAACTCTAACTACAGAACGAAAATAATTTGGAACGCTCGTTTCTTTGAAAAATCAATAATATATATTTTACTGTTTTTGTATTGTTATCAAATGTTTAACTGTATTTTTTATTATTATTACTATTATTTGATGACACCAGACACGTGATTGTATTATAATACTTCGGACGGATCGTGTTCAATGACACAGTGGTCGGTAAACTTTTAGAGGGTAGGTACTCCGTACTCGGGGTCAAAATGGGGTTAAATAATAATACGTGTTTGCGCTGGATGGACATCGGAAAAAAATCGAGTGTCGTATTATATGGATAGTCGCACTATAATTTTACCTACGTCCTATAAAAAAAAGAACACGTAATGATTTTCGTGTCGCCGGTATGGTCGTCCCCTATCACTATAGGTGCGATAACTATTGCCTATAGGCTATTGTATGTTTACTATATTATTGGCGACACGGTTTAATGAAAATAATAACATAATGATCGGATGAACTACTAGCGACCAAACAATATCATTTGAAAGCTCGCAGAATTAAATATTCAACACGTTAGTAAGCTGCTGTATGAATACGAATTATCCAGGGTAAATTCGATCGGCGTGTAAGAAGTTTTGTTTGAAAATAAATAAATTATAGCACAATAATGATGATCATATTATATTATATCTTGTGCTTTGTGTACGAAAATGTTCTTATTATATTGAAAATAAAATGTCAAAGTATTTTATTTTTATATCGTACCTATACTGTTTGAATGAGCCCCAAAACTTATTAGCAAACAATATTACTACGAAAGCGTATTTACTATTTACAATTTACAGTGGTAGAAGAAAATGTGTGTTGAAAGTTTAATATCAATAAAAAATATTATTCCTAGGTGGGTGTTATAGTATTAACTATTAACTATTTTACGATCGAAATCGGGTGTTATCGATGTGTACCTACTTATACGGTATATCACGTTGTACTTATTCCGAAAATACCTTGGCATTTAATTAATAACTATCAAGAATATTGTATTTTAAATTTTAATACAATGATTAGATTAACCATATTATCTTAAAATGTATCTTAAAATTCAAATACTTCATAAACCAAAATAAAGTTTTTAAATTTTTAAATTTTTCTGAATGTTTAGTAAACAATATTTTAGCTGGGTTATCATTATAACTTATTACTATTATTATTCATGAGAGATTTATTAAACGGATAGGTTCTTAAAAATAATTGATCAAAATGAATGTAATTAAAATCAAAATACGAAGAACATTTAGAAATTATAATATCTCTACATAAAATATACTTAAGCTAGCTTAAAATCTAAGTTGTTATCAGAAAATAATCTTTTCAATAAAATCATCATAAATTGAGTTTCTAAAAGTTTATAATTTATTCTTCAAAGTATACTTTTCATTCATAATAATATCAAACTAAAACTAATCCTTTATAATTAAATTTCATCATTTCTCAAAATTAAAATGTATTGAAGCATTAAACGTGATAAATTAATCAGTTGTATTCGAATGTTTTATTTCTAAATAAAGACATTTCTTAGAAAATTATTTATAACTTCCATGGATAATTATAAATGATTTCAAAGTAACTTTTAATAATCATTTAATAAAAAGTAATAGCCAAGTTTCTAACTATACTAACCATTATTGTAATCCGACTTCATAATTGCCCACATTCCAAGAATGGCTTATGGAAGTTAAACAACTTTCAAAACGATAGATATTTTAAATACTACTTTTCATAATAATAGTTATCTTCTTTTAACCTACTCTGTAAATATTATTCATTCATTGAAACCAGCAGAAATTTTGTTTTTAACCCAGAATTCACAATGAGACAACGTGTGGAAAACATAAACCGTCAAAAGATTATTAAGATTTTCACATTATACCTATATATATGTAAAAAAATAACCATCAAATAACTTGTGATATGGCTGAGTATTATGCTCCTTAAAATGTTCGACACAATTATATTTTATATTATACTTTCCTGATACATGTTGATACGCAAGACAAACATTTCAAATGTCTCGTTGTATATGTAAATAGTGGGCGCAATACCTTTTAATTTAAAGTTTTAAAAAGTAAATAAAACATTTACTGTTTTTTATAGTTACTCGATTATGTACAATGTTTCACGGGAAACAATATAATGGCAATGCATTCAATGTTAATAAACAAACCCCCGGATACTGGCTCGATGACTTCAAGACATCCAATGCATCAGGTAAAACTATATTTACACTCGCCGTGTTAAATGTAAACACCGAAGACAGACAATATTACGGTTTATATGTTACATTATACGTTCCGCTCGAAGAAACGATTCTGAGTAAACTTCGGTTTTGCTGTCTACTAGTGTTTTCTAATTTATTTTAAGTGTTGTTTGACGGAAAATCAGTGACGATTTTCTCAACTTACAATACCGAGTAGAAAATATGGTAGACTATAATCTAAGAATATGGTTGAATTTCCATTTGTTATTTGTCCACGTTCTAATTTTCTGAACCGTTAGATTTCTAAGTGTTACCATTAAATGTTTTTATAATATGTTCACGAATCTTAATCGTTAGTTTATGCCCTTAAACCCTTAGCCCTAATAAGCTTTCTTCCCCTTGATCCAAAAAAAAAAATCAACAGTCCTTATTGCGTTTAATCTTCTTATAGGTACTCTTTAGAATAACATGCACTTATTACGTCATATTAGTGTTTGTACAAATAATATATTTTTTTAATATATTTTAGTCGAATTAATTAAATAACAATAAACTTAAAATCGATGTATAGAAAATAAAAATACATATTATTATTATTTTTATTGAGGCTTTACGAGTTTTTTTTCGACACCTTTGTCTAGCGACTTTATTATATTAATACTGGATGACTAAACTAACCTTATGTCGCTATAAATGAAAACTTTAATATATTAGCATAGGATATAGCCATATAGATACATACGTTAAAATTAATTTAATCGTTATGTTCAAGTATTATCATAAAATGAACATCCAAAATGGAAAAAAAATGCAACTGATAACAAGTCCCATGGTACTTAATAACTAGGGTTCGGATTTATATGTATTTATGTAGCCAAAGTAGATATTTAAAACTATGTACCTTCATACATGTGTGCTAAACAGTTAAAAATAAGAATTATCAAAAAAAATTAACCATAATTAATAATATAATAAATTGTAATAAAAAAAAAAAAGATTATTTATCTAATTATCTTGATTTCAATTTAAAACAACATGTGTTTTTAAATTTTCAAATTCAAAGGATTACCGTTTATGTTGTAAACTTTCTTTATACTGAATTTATACGTAGATATAGCCACGTCAAAAATACATCCGGTCGACACCGCCGAAAAGACAATAGTATAATATAATATAGACTATACAAGTCGTTAACTATTAGGTATTGCGTTCCTTATGATAAGCTACCAATCATTCTGAACTCTGGAAAAAACAAGGTAAGATAGTAAAATTGACTAAATGTGTGGAAAAAATTGAATAATATTATGATATAATATGTAAAAACATGTATTTATGAAAAAATATGTAAAAATATGTAAAATCAAGAACAGCTCATTTCATGGAAAATCTTGTGAAGCGAATTTATCACTTGCTGAAATTAGTTTATCGTGCCATACTGAAAATATGTATTTACATATATAAATCAGAGGTCTAGTGATAACTGATAATATATTATGCAGTGGCGTAGTCAGGGGGAGGCTGAGGGGGCTGCAACCCCCCCCCCCCCCACCCGAAATGTTAATAAAATTTAAAAATTATCTTAATGGCTATGGTATTCGATCAAAAACTAAACTACCACAAAAATTATACGTATGTATTATTTTGTATTTAATATAAATAAATTAGACAGCGTTTGAATGCAAATGTTTGTAGGAAGGTGCCTATATAAGTATATTTAATTCCATGAGTCATGACGAAAAACATAAAAGTTACGACTTCTGACAGTGTAGCATCATCGTAAATTACATTTTCTAATTAATTAAACTTATACACCTTTTATAGTTTTGTGTTGTCTTTCATAATATTTTTTAACTTTTTCAGGATTTGCATTACTTTGCATTTCGGCCGGCAGACAGAATCGTAGCTACGTGGACAGCTATGCAAATGGTCACAAAAGCTAACGGGTGTCTGTTTGTTTTGCCAGGTTCACATGAACATCCGGGTATACTTCTTCCGCACGAATATCCGGAATGGAAGGTAAGAATATATATATGGTATTATTTTGATTATTATTATTTATTTATACAATCAAAACAATTTCTGATGCATTGCGTTTAAAAGGGCGGAGTGAATAAAGGTTTCCACGGGATTACCGGGTACGATAGTTACCAAAAAAAATATTTGGATATGAATCCTGGTGACACGGTACTTTTTCACCCATTACTAATACACGGATCTGGACCGAATACGTCACAAGTATGTATAATTTAAAGCTTCACATCCAAGATATTGTCAAGTTTTCCTCAATCCGCAGTGATTATAAGATAGGTACCTACCTACCGGCTACCATTACCATATTATGTTGAATAATTGTATATGAAAATACACTTGGTACAGAAAAAATCTACAAAAAAAAAGTACAAATAATTACTATCTTTACTTACGTTAATAATTAGGTACCTACATTATAACTATTGGAAAATTCAATATTTCTTAAATGACATCAATATAACATGTAAATAATATATTTTGTCTCTGCGTGTATTTCAATTTTATGAATACATAAATATCTGCTGTACAAAGGAAACAAGAAAAGCAATTTCTTGTCATTTCGCATCCTGTGAATGCCGATATATAGATGTAACTGGTACAACACAACAAAATATCGCTATTGAAGTCAAAGAAATAGCACGTCGGAGAGGTTTCAATGACATGGACTTCAAAGTAATAATGCATGAGTACAAAATAGTAACTAGTAACTCCACAATATTATGACTATTAATTGAAATGCAAAACCTTTTCCATATTTTAGGACTTTTGGAAGTTTCGAAGTCGACTAGTGCGTGGATTGAAAATGCATTTATAACTCGACCAAATTACCTGCAAACGCATAAATGATAAAATATTATCTTATAAAATTGAGTTAATATGAGTTTTACTTACATGTCATTCAAACAATTTTAATTAGTTTATTCATCACACATATCTATCTTGATAATTATACACCTAAATACAGAGTACACACATATAATATACATATACTTATATACCTATACCTATTTCAATTATGCTTATATGTATACCTACTTTTTATCGGCTTTTGACAAAAAGTTAATTCGGCTCAACAATTAATTATCGTGGGCACCATTTAAGTTTATTTTAAGAGGATAAAAATATTTATATACCTTCCGAGTCTCGAGAAAATATTTATACCTATTCCTTCATTGAAATCGATCTAGTAGTTTCTATAATTAGATATCTAGTAAAAAAACTCATTTCAAATACAATTACAATATTGACTTGGATATGTTTAAAAAATATTATAATACCTACCAATGGATTTAAAAATGTGTAGTTACACTCTATATATTTATTCTTTACCATACTTTATTCAATCATATTTTTCTCTTATTTATATTTTTAAGGACTACTCTCCCAGCACAACCTTTGCTCTCTGGGGTTGCTGCAATATTGTACACATAACGGACATTTTGATGTTAAAAAATTGTTGATATTGCATTGAACTTATTGTCACAATTACTATCATTATTATTTATTATTATTACTATAAAAATCGAATCTGACTTAATAGGTTCTATGTTTTATGACTATAACTATATACATATCCGACAACCACAGCGAAAAATAACAGAAGAGGTAAATATTTTAATTTATATTATTATAGCTTAGCTTAGTTTCATGTTATAATGTAAAATTAACCTTACACTTAATTTAAAGTTAATTGTCAGTTAGACGACCAAAGATGCAACGGCCGACGAGTAAGTGCCGCGGCCGATAAAGGAATGCCACGGATGATAAGGAGATGCAGTGGACGACGAGATGCCGTGGCTACAACTCTACTTTTAAAAATTATAATATTATGTATAACCAGTTTTAATAAAGATGTTTTTGTCCAATAATTGATACTTGAAATTTTTTTGTACACATTATAACATACTTCATATTAATGGTAAAAACAAAATATGCTTACCTATTTAATATGTACTTTTTAATAATCTATTAAGATTTGTACGATAAAACGTTAATAATAAGTACATTAATATAACTTATATCTTATTATGACTTATGCCAGACATTAAAAAAAAAAATGTTGATAAATATTTTGTAATTTAAAAACAAAAATTGATGGTATTTTACTATAATAATGAGACGTAGGCCCAAAAACAAAGATGTGCTAAATTTGAACTTGGGAGTACTAAAGACCGTCTTGCATTCCGAAGAGGCACAAATAGACGTAGCCGTTTGGGCGTGGGGACAATTGGACGTCAAAAAAAGAAATATAAATTAAATAAATAATATTATAACAGATCCTCATCAAAATATATTTAAATAAATTGAAAACAAATAGTTCTGGTTTATGCTTATAAATTATAAAACCATTGATATTATATGTCCATAATATAACTAATGGTAATTGCAGGTATCGTATAATATCGAAGCTTATCAAAATATTTCTCTGCATTAATATAAAAAAAACTTCTTAGATATTTTATACATTATATTTTGGACATAATATTATAATAATTATTATAAATAACTTTTTTTGGTAGGTATTGTATTTTAATTGCTGGTGAACCTATAGTCGTAATAAAAAATTGTTTTGGATACATTTTTAATTTTAATATTTTATAAAATAAATAATTTGTATATTCGTTTTTGTTTGACGCATAAATATTATAATAAATATAAATAACTTATTAATTTTGTTAACTGATTTAAAATTTTGATTATATTTTTTTGACGTCCAAATGTCCCCACGTCCAAACGGCTACGTCCATTTGTCTTAGATCTCTTGCATTCATCTAGTTACGCCAATAATGCATTTAACTAAAAAATATTAACCTTCGTATCGTCTAAGAGTATAAGACCCAGCTATAAAGATCTAATCTTCTCGAAGTATAATTGTACTAAAAAAATTACCAACAATAGACACTAATTCAAACATAGTGGTTAGTAGGTACAATACTAATAAAGCTAATTTTTATAGCTTAAGTGGATGAAAATATGAGATGAAAAATATATTAATAAAATGATCAAGACATGATATTAGAAGTGTTATTTGAGGAATAATTTAAACCTGTAAATTATAATGATCATTACAATGTAAGTGAATTGCTTGGTCAACAAAAAAATTAATTTAATCAGGTGAACCAAAAAAAAATATTATTTTTCACAAATTTTAATTGAATTTTTTAGATTTATTCATTTTGTGGTAACACTTCATCGATGATATTTGGGTCAAAATATATGAGTTAAAAAGTAAGGAATGCTCAGATTCAGAATCAGCATCAAATGCTGCTCATTTTTCTGCAGTGTAAAATATTTTCATTTGCCTTTAATCCTAGTATTATTAGGAAGTAATAAGTGTTATAATTAGGGGGGAGGATAAGTTGGTATGTACCACTGTTTAAACTTGTTCACAGCCCACGCCTTTGATACTCACAGGTATAAAGGTAAAATATAGAAGCTTTAATCTCCCTTTTTAATTATTCATTATAACATATTATTATATCATTATTCATTACAGTTATTAGGTACACAATAAGTGAATATTTTATTGCAAAAAAAAAATGACTAAAGCGTGTATCAAATTAATAAATGATTAAAAAAAATGGGAACATATTTTTTTTTATTATTTAAATTAAATAGCATGCCTAAAGGCTATAGATAGCAGCGTTTATTTTGGAGAAACAGTATTTCTTGTAATATTAATTTTGTTTCTGCTTTTTGCATTTTTAAGGATGCATACTTTTAATTTAACATTATTATATTAATTTTTTTGAACAATTCTAAGATCGATATTATTCATTAAGCCGATATTTTTTTGTATTTTTAAGCAAAGCAATAAGTGATTCCAGTATTGATGAGTGCAAATACCTACTATATTGACAGCGGCACATAGTACATAATATAATTTAATACGAAAATGTATAAGAGACAATCATCTATATGACTATATAGGTACCTACTAAATATGTATTATTTATTATTTTTCCATTGACGACAGTTGTTCCCTTCCACTGCAAGTTACCTTTACGACTGTACCTACCTACATAAATCTATCGACTGAGCAATGAGCCTATATTTTATACTTTTTGCGTGTGTTACATCAGAACAATGTTAGTAGGTCGTGTGAGTGTACTATATTCTATATACGTCCAACGTACTTTATGGTTTATTTTATAATTTCATGGCCTTATATTATTGCGAAGTCGCAAAGTTTTTTCTCGACAAAGTCTTCTTGGAATTGCGGTCTTGTTCTCAACGGTTTCCCTGTGGACCTTAGCTGGAGTACTAAAGCTGTTGTCGGACGTAATAAAATAAAATCTACCTACGTCGTTTTCACTCCACCGACTTGCGTTCGATAATTGATCTGAACTGCGTCAAGTTTAATTTCAACGAACAACAACTTATCTCATTTAGTCGTACCATCGGATGTGAGTGTGGTGACGTTTCCGAAGTTTCTGTGCGCGATAAGAACGAAGAATATTATAATAATATATTGTCACTATACCCACTCACGGGTGTGCATGCACTGTACCTACTTTACTGTTCAGCACCTACGGCACATGACGCATTTGCACCGGAATAATATTCCGCCCTACACTTCCGAGGACATGTCAACGTCGTTCGAATTTAATAGGGTTCTAATATTATATAAATTATAATACGTAACTATAGAGTGCCTATTGCGGTATGCGTTCAATAATAGAAATAATTCATCTCTGTTGCAGTTATCGTTTTGAATATCACTACCTACCTACTGTATAATAGAATATAGATAGGTATTGCATCTTACGAAATGTTGTACAATTGACATTTACTTATAACGTGACATTTGCATTCCGAATTCGATGTCAGCGGAGCTGCTTCTTGTTGTTGATACGCTGCAAGTCGTGTATTGTATATAAGATAATAATATATAGGTACCTAAAGTATGAATAAATACAATTAAGTAAAATAGTTTTACACATTATAGGAAGGTACTGTCTTAGGAATACAAACTACAAACTACAGAGTACAAATTGATTAGTTCCCTAATGCAAAATATGATATATCTTTATGAAGCCACAGATTTTTTTTGTAGGGAAACGGTAAAAAGTTGTACCTCTCGACCCCAATCAAATAATTGACGTGTCCCAAATAATTTCAATAAAATGCCCGTTAATATAATTGCATGGCATTTCGTGGAACAGGGTTACGACCCCCTAAACCTCCTCACGAGTATGTACAACATATGCGACTGTGGCACTGTATTTATTTTATTGATTTCATCGAAAAACCTAAATACGGCCTTGGTCGTAGAAACAGGTAGGTAATTGATATTATAAGTTATAACACAATGATTGTAATTCTTTGCACGTTGAAATTAATTCAAAAATATCAAAATTATTGTAAAATGTCTAAACAATTTACCTCGGTGTACCTTTAGTAGCCTAAACGTTATATGATGAGAAGTTTACTATTGAAATTAGAAATACATAAAAAAATTATTACGTTCTGAATGGTTATAACTTATAAAACAAATATAATTTCTATGTTTGTTGATACAAATAATGTAACATTTAAAATTAATTTTCAATACCAAATTTCAAATGCTATACTTTTTTTAATGGACCACATTAAAAAGCTACATCTCAAGCAACTAATTTTTATAGTGGGATTCAACAATTTGCATTGTCTATAGCAAGCTTGTAATTTAAAAACAAATGATTGTTTAAAATATTGTTTTTAAATGGGAAAACCCCAATTACAAGTTTAAAGTTACATCGTGTAAAGATAAGCTACAAATTTAACAGAAAGTAAAGATAAAATTGACAAACAGATATTATATATGTATAAAAATAAAATATTTGTAAAAATTCGCCGAAAACAAAAAAATAACAAAGTAAAAGACGAGTAAATGTTCATGACACACCATGAAGTTCAAGCTGGCGTTCCGCAAGGTAGCGATATCGCCCCATTTCTCTACATTTTTTACACTACTGATATCCCAGTTAGTCAGTTCACTCTCATTGGAACTTACGCCGATGACACAGCCATACTTGCCTCAAGTGTCAACCCTATCCTTGCCAGCCATCAAATCCAAACTCACCTAAACATCCTTATACCTTGGTTCAACAAATGGGGTATTAAAATCAATGAAACCAAGTTATCGCACATAACCTTTTCCTTAAGACCACATGACTGTCCACCGATCATCATGAATAATTCCACTATTCCTCATTGCACGACTGTCAAATATCTCGGTCTCACATTCGACAGAAAACTCACTTGGGGTCCTCACCTCAAGGACAAGCGAAAACAATTAAATAGTAGACTTCATCTACTTAGACCCTTACTAAGATCTAACACCAACATTCAAAACAAAATCCTTATATACAAATGCCTCCTCCCCGACCCTTATGGACCTACGGCATCATACTATGGGGCCCAACCAAAAAATCAAATGCATACACGATCCAAGCATTCCAATCAATTTGCCTACGTATCATTGCCAAAGCTCCATGGTACGTAACGAATAAATTACTACACGATGACCTCCAAATCAAAACTGTCCAAGAAACAGCCACCAACTTCTATAAAAGATTTCATGGGAAACTCCTCATGAACCACAACCACCTCATCTCTCAACTGGCCTCAAAAACTCTTCCAGACAACCCCACAAGACGTCTCAAACGCAGCTGGTGCAGAGACCTGCTTAACCATTAAATACATTTAAGAAAACTAAAAATTAATTAATTATTTTTTTTTTTTTTTTATAACTCTTTGTCTAAGGTGACTCGACTGCGAGTCTTCCTTCATGTCACTCAAAGTCTTTATATTACTTATATCATATTTACTTATTGTATATAATGTACAGATTGTGAATTATCAATAAACGTCATAATTTAAAAAAAAAAAAAAATGTTCATGACAGTTTTATTTTTATTAAAACGTTTTAAGTACCCGACCATTAAGTGTTAAATTTGATCATAAAATTGTATTTATAATGGCTAGATGTTATAGTTTAATTAATCTCATCTTCATCTATTAGCTCATAAAAAGTTTGAAGTCCAAATTACTGACAACTATTCTACACCCATATATCCAGCTACTAACCTCCAACAGCTATAGTGAGGTTAGGCACACCTGGAGCTAGGTAGCTTTCATTCTTTTGATGTACCTTTTACATTTTTTCATCTCAATATTTGTACTGGTGAGTGATGACACCTCCACTAAGTACATGCAACTTATGTAACTTTGTTCAAACTATTTAAATTTTTAGATTTACTGCATATAAAATTCTAAGAATGTGTTTTCTCTTCCAGTAAGTTCAGTTTTTTCATTTTTCAAGCCCAGCCCAGTCAAAAATATGTGCAGATTGTTTTTAACATAAACAAATATATAGTTATAAATAAAATATATTAAAAAATAAACGGCAACAAAAGTATGAAATATAAAAATCAAACGTTCGAAAATAAGGTACCTAATACCATCACAATATTAAAATAAATATTATATAATTTAAACAATAAGGTTTTTAAGCTTATACAATTATCACTGATATTAGAAGTTAGGTTATGTAAATATAACATAAACTAGGTAACATAAAATCCACAACCCTATTTCAATATTTCAATTTGATAAAATAGAATTTAATTTATTACTACAAATTTGCTTTGACTCCACGAATAAGTCGACAACGATGTTTCCAGGCAAACTATTAAAAAAAAAATATTTAATAAAATATAAGACTAATGTTTAATTTACATTACGACTAAAGTATTAGTTACATACCGTGTAATCAACATTTGTTATTCCTTTTTTAGCCATCACATCCATTATTTCATTTTTTATGTTATCTTGAGTTGTACCAGACACGTCTATATAACAACAGTTGGATGAAGCATAATGTACAGAAATTGCTTTACGGAAACCCTGGAGAAAAAAATTTTAATATACATGTAATTTTATAAATAAAGTATAAACATAAGCACTTAGATTAAAATATATTATACTTGTGTTTTATTTATTCCTGATCCATGAAGCAACAAAGGATGGAAAAAAACTGTATCACCTTTCTCCATTTCCAAAAACACCTTTTTCTGATCATTGTGATTATTGTTAGTTTTTACTTCATGGTACATTTTATTTATTTCTCCCTACAGAAATCATCATTAATATTTTTGACCAAATTACAATATTTTAATTCAATATAAAATGGAATTATTAACTGTGAATGCTATAATATTAGATTATTAGTATAAATAAACTGAACTAACGTCTTTGGGTTCTGGATAACTATGAGGATACAAATCACCGGTATGTGTTCCAGGTAATACATATAGACATCCATTGTTCACTGTAATTGGAACACAAGCTGTCCAAGAAGCTACAATCATGTTGGCAGGACGGAATGGAAAATAATGAAGATCCTTAAAAAAAAAAATGTATTGATATCTCCAACATACAGCATATCAAACAATAAAAAAATAAGTAAGTAAAAAGGAATAAGTCAATTCTGGAAATTTGTTGTACTGTTGTAGTAAACAATGAAGTACATAATTTTTATGACCAACATTTAAATGATTGATGTATTATTATTTCTTTTCAACATTAAATTAACAGTGACAAAAAAAGTTTAACTACAGAAATGTAGAAATGAGATCATTTTTTATCGTTTACTGAAAAGTAGTAATTTTTACTTTTTTCCTTTTACTACACACAATCTAAAATTAAAATTTTAAATGCAAAAAATAAGTTTGTACTTGATGAACTGGGTGGCGAGAACTATTGGTACCAATGTCTGGTTGTTTGTTAATAAACATTGAATGCATAGCCATAACATTTGGTCCAATAAAACTTTCTACATAGTCCAACATCTAAATTTTAAAAGAATGACATTATTACTGATTATTATCTAACCTATTATTCAAGTGGTACCTTTGGGAATCTAGCATACTCATAAAATTCTTCATCCCAAAGAATATCTTGTGCTTTACCAAATAAATATTCGCCTTGATCACCTACTTTCATGCGAGATATGTCTTTCATCATAGTTATTTGATTCCGTGGAACTCTATCGTGACATAAGTCTACAAATCGGTTGCTAATATTTCATAAATAACATTCATATTAAACATTGGTATAATATAATAACTTATTTAATCCATATTAGACCTTTTAAATTTATAAAATACTATTACCAGCATCTGTCTAACAAATAATCAGGTATTAGTTTAGGAATTACTAAATAACCATTTATTTCATAAAAATCCCTCTGTTGTCTAGTTAATTGGAAATCTGATGCAGAATATTTATAATCTGAAATATTTGTATTGTATCTATGTTCCTGTAAATGAAAAAAATTAGATTAGTTACTAAACAATTTAATAACTACCATATAAATATGTGTTTTCATTAATAACAGAATAACATTTTTAGTAATTATATAGGTACATTTATAAGAGTATAAAACATTTAAGAATATTTTCTTCATAATCTTTTACAATTAAAGCCATATAAACTATAATAACTATAATATTAGTTATTACATATTTGTTATTTATTTTCAGTTAATTACATTAGTAATTATAATTAAATTTAATTAACACAGTTAAATAAATATATCAAGGTACTGAATTAATAAAAAATATCTTCTATCTAAAATGCAATCTTGTTGAAAAAATATTATAAACCTTGTTGGAGTTAGGAAAATTTACAATTTATAAATTATAAATAAGATTTTTTTCAAAAGCTATAATAATTATATATTATATGTTATGTACATTTCTATTTTATATTCAAATGAATAAAACTAAGTTGTTATTTTGTTATTTATAAAGTAGTAGTAGATAATATAAAAAATAATGTTTATTCAGACAACATTTAAAAATATTATGACTAAACATTTAATAGGTATTTGTCTATTGTTTGTATAATGGTCCAAAATATGTAATAATTTATGTTGGGTAATATTTTTTTAAAAAAAAGATAAGATCAAACATTAATCATTTATCTACAATAATAAAGTCTAAAAAATAAACTTATCTTTCTCCTTATTATGGTTGATTTTATAAAAAGTACGTCATTCATTGTTATTTACAATTCATTTTAAGCCAAGTAGTTTTTTTTTTTTTGTTATAGAAAATGTATATGACGTGTTTAACTATTATTGACGGTTACTAAACAAATATATAGTAAACAGGTAATATTAAATTCTTGAAAAAATATTCAATGAAAACTAATAAATAAGTATTAATTGGTTAAACAATATACCAACAATATACCATAAGGTTTACTGATTAGAGACAGTAGGCTACAATCTGTAATAGAAATAAAAATTGAATTATATCAATAGGTATAAGACAGTTCAAACATAAATGGTACTATGAGCTGCTAGACAAAAAATGAAAGTGTTCACACAAGTCTCATACTATCATAAACTACCAATCTATTCATCATAAGTTTTGAGGATTATAAAATTTAAATTAGAGATTGTGAAATATATTTATAATAATAAAAATAAAATCAATGTATACATGTATACAAACATTAACTGTAAAATAAAACTAAATGTAAATGAGTATGGCACAAATTTTTAGGTAAATAGTAAAAACTTAAATGTATTGCAAGCAGATTTCTTAATTCTGATTCTATTACTCTTAGAGTACAGTGGTACCTATTCAAGCTTTTTTTTAACACGACGCAAAGTGATTTTCACAAAATTCAATTTACATGTCTGAGTCATAAATAACTTTTGGTTCAATATTAACTTATATTTCTTATAAGTTTTTAAATTTTTTATATCAAATTACATTCACATATTTGTACTTTATGAAACATTAATATTAATGAATATATATTTTATTTTATTATATTTTTAATACAACTAATTGCCTATTAAAAAAACCTCTCAAAACTTCACAGCACACTGGTTGAAAATCACTGTTTTAGTAACTAATTGGTCTTGTTTATTCATTGTTTTTTCAATACTTTGGAATGACTACTTTTATGTTTAAAATTTTAAAAATGAAATTTTAATAAAAACTTTTCATGTTCTAGCATGAGTAACAACATTAATAATTACATATTTTGACTTTTTTATTACATACTCATTGTGTTACTTGTCAAATATACTTTTAGCAATACCTTATTATTTTAAACTATTTAGATTTTTATAACCTACTCTCGATACCCAACACTAATCAAAATTAAAAATTTGTCTTAATAAATAAACATAACAAGTAGGAAAAAACAATAAATCATTCTACTCACCATCGTGTGGTTTCAGTTAGCAGTAGTAATGAATGAACTTCAACAAAATAAATTCTGATTTTAAAAGATAGATACTAGATGGAATGACTGAGTTTAAGCCTTGAAACAAATCACAGCCGTCGTTATTATCTTACATTAAATATAAATATATAGTATTATATTGATATGGTATTTACAATTACAGTAGAAGTAGTATAGTAACTACAGATAGTTGAAGTGAAGAGTAAATAACACTGAATAATTAATCTGAGGTTATAGTGGTAACTTTAGCAGTAATTATATTAATTAAGTGTATCAGAATTGGTGTATTAGTGTTTTAATCACCATGTTCAATCCATTGTTACATTCTGTGCTAATATCATGGACCTTTCACCTTTGTAACAAAGTGGATCCACCAGAAAAAAAGACTTGAAAAGTTGAAATAAATATTTTATCACTGATAAACCTGATAAACAGTAATCGCTTATCAGATAAGAACCAAGATAAAATAACAGTGATAACTGGTAACTGATAAATAATAAACATATGTTTCCATTTGCCGTGTATCAGCTTGCGCCCTGCGACCTTGATAATATTTCTCATTCGAAGCTTTCAATCGAGCTGATCTCCGTGACGCTGTTGCTACTTATTTCTTATATATTTTAAGTATTTTGTACAAAAATAAAGTACATTTTTAGAATATATACGTATGATGGCGTCCCTTGGGAAAGTCTTGTGTGGTACGTTTTTCACCAACACCAGTTTACGGGTGTTGAGACGTTACCCAATATGCGCAGGTAAACGGTATTTAAGTCAATCGAAAATCGTCAATAACCTTAATCTTCAGACATGCAGAGTACCGGTGGTAAGAACAAATTTATTTATTTATTTGAAAATATACGCGGCGACAATTTGTGTGTGTTTCTTGTACAATTGAGGTACCCACTAACGAGTTAATTTCCCATTCAAAGGCTGGTGCTGGTAGTGGTCGATGGTATTCAGACACGACAGCAGCCAGTCGATTGTCTGTGATTGAAGTAGAAACTAGAGTGCTGAAAGTGTGCAATGCGTATGATAAAGTCACTGCTGACAAGGTATGTAAATTTTATTTTATTATATTTTCAGACGGTTATGCGGCATTACAGTGTCAAGCCACCGATGACTATTGAACAAATTAAAAAGCGTGTCCTATTGGTATTACAATTATACGACAAGGTTAACCCAGATAAGGTATACACAGTTTTATGACAACAACTAGGCATTTAATTGAGTTGAATATCTACCTACAAGCTACCTTTTTTTTTACATATTATCAAAATGAGTATGAAATACTTTAAGAAATATTTAGACCATTTCTTTTGAAGACCTACCTATTATGCATTTTAAATGTGATAATGATAATAAAAAAATAATATCCTATATTATTATCGTTTTCATATTTTACTTAGTTGAAAAATATATTAGTATTTAAATACTGTACAATTTTAAATTATAATTGATTGTTTTGTAATCATTTCAGCTTACTCTTGAATCACATTTTATCAATGATCTTGGATTAGATTCATTAGATCATGTGGAAGTTATCATGGCCATAGAAGATGAATTTGGTAATTCTTATTTTCATTTTACGTAAATAAAAATACAACAATTTGTTTTAAACCCTTACAGGTTTTGAAATACCTGATGAAGATGCTGAAAAGTTGCATAAACCTAAAGATATTGTGCAATATGTGTGTGATCGTGAAGATATTTATGATTAAATCATTCAGTCCTGTGTATCTAAATGTACTAAATGTAGTTTTTCCAAATATTATAACAACTCATTGGAACAGCAACACTGATTTGTTATTTTTTAAGAATATAAGTATAGTAAGTTTTGAAAAAGTTTTTTTTTGTCTGAAATACATTTTTTTTTTTTATTATTATGATTATTATTAACATTATTTAGTTATAATCAAACTTAGTATATTTTTTATGAAAATCCTTTGTAGTATTTAAATGCCCAATAAGCATCAATTCCGTATATAACTCCAAGAATAAATCCTAATATCTGAAACCAAAATTAAATGAGTTGAAGCTTTTAAAAAACTGTTTTTTTCTATTTGTAATTGTTTTTCTTACATAAGCCAATATTACTGCTGAAAATAAAGAGGTAAATGGCATAGTCATAATAATTGGATACAATAATGTATAGACCGCTATTGTTAATAATGATGAAGAACTCAAATAACAGATTGATGCAAAAATTCCAAAAATTATTTCCTGAAAAAAAATTAGAAATTAAATTAGGTATAAATCTCGTTTCACAAATTCTGGTTAATACATACAAAAAGTGATGATCTAACAAGTACTTCGGTATTTTTTGATAACAAATAAGATACACTAATGACTGTTGTTGTCATTAAACATCCAGCAACAGTTGTAAGGAATGATTCATACGATGTTCCAAATGTTGGAATGTACTTCGTCCCATAGAACAACATTATACTTTGACAAATGGACCCCAGTATCTAAATAATTAATAAATACACTATAAACCAAAGACTTGTTTTGCTGTGATGTTGTAATAAAAAGTAAATAAAAAAGAAATCATATTAATTAACTTAGATTTCTACATTGTTGTTAATATTTTTTAACATAATAAATAATAGTAAATTTTACTTAAATGTTATAGTTTTACTTAAAAACTACTTGGGAAATGAAATCTGAAAAATTAAGTATAAATTGTTCATTAAACCAATAACCTAAATCAGTAAACTTTAACTATCAACTATCACTTCACTCATAATATATAATGATCTATACCAAATAATTTTTTTTTAATATTAGAATATTTAACATAAACATTTAAAAATGTTATGTTTCCATCATAATATTGTTGGCCATGTAGACATATGTATGTTTGCCTATTAACTAAAATGTACTTATGGTGTGTCTTTATCAATTAAAAATCTAAAGTAATGTAACTTATTACTATTGGTAATACAAAATAAATAACCATTGTATATGCATTAGAATAAAATGTTAATACTAAAATAAATTTGTTTTATTTTTATAAAACATTACTTAATGTTCAAATCATTGAATTGTTAAATTTTGATATAATACTCGCATGCGTTGTCCATTTTACTACGGAGCCTATGGTATGGCTAATTTAATGTTTAAAATAATCCGTTAAAAATAGTTGTAAACAAATTACAATTTTAAAACTCTCATAACTTGCTCCAAAATTAAAAATGTTGAAGCAAACTTACAAAGTGCATTAAATAATATTTTTACCTTTTAATTTAACAACATGTCAATTTACTGTAGTATAAAAACCACATAGTTTAACAGTTTCTTCTAAATACTTAATTTGCCATGTTGAGCATGAGTATGATAGAAATGACACATGTAGGTAAAAGGTCCTCTTAATGTCACTTCTACACATTTTTTACTAGTGTATTAAAATCATTTTTATAATATGATCAATTAAATTAAATTAATAGGTAAATAATTATTAAAAATTTGTTTTTTAAGTTTTGAGTGTAGCAATGCAGAACATAGTAAAAGATACTAATAACTCAATAAGTTATTACATTTTATATTGAATATATACGATTAATATGATTATGAATTTAAATTAAACTAAAATATTTTCTAATATAGACAATAGACATAAGTAAATTATTAATTACAGCAAGTCATTACAAGATTAATATAGCTTGGACCTCAAAAGTAACATTTAAAACACATATTTGACAAAAATACTGTATTATTGTATAAGTACTTACTATTTGAATAATTTTTAAAATTCCATAAGATGTTGTGAAGTATTGCATATTAAAACATGAACATAAACAAGACTTGGATGTTGACCCAACATAGGGTCTACTTATCCTATACATTTTTAAGATAAAATATTGATCTAAATATGTACTTCTTATATTTGTTGTATTGTATGGTTTTGTTTATATTGCACAAACTAAACTTAGTAGGTTCAATGTATAAGTCACTTCTCAGTTTCCAAGAGTATAAATTGTACTACCCCCTGCTGAGTAATATAATATGGTATTTTTAAACATTCTGAACATCTGATTGCTATTAACACAAAATACTGTATATGCAATGTTATATGTTTTTAATTCTTCATATAACTACAAACATTAAAAATATGAGTATGACATGTTGCATGTTAATAAAGAAACTTAATTTTTACCAAGTTATATGAATTATATTTTAGACGTTTTAATATTTTACAAAATCAAGTCTATTTTAGTTGTGTTAAAATTAATAAATATGTATATAATATTAGTTAAATAAATGCGATCACACTTTTTGATTCATATTCTTAAGGCACTTGAAAAATGTACAATAAAATAAATACGTAAGGCACAAAGTTATCACTTAAATGTATAATAATTTGAACAATGCAATTAAAATAAACTTAAGATTCTTAATTTTTCGTTTTAATACGAGTACAGATAGCAATAGGTTTTTTATGTCTTAATTTACTTAAAAAATAACACAAACACATTTGGTATAATATAAGTCATAAGCATAGTTAACAAAGTTAATATATAAGTTCTGAGGACATGACCATATAAAGAGTTTAATAGACCATAAAAAACAGTCATCATAATAATGCTTTATAATAATAATTTATACAATAAATTATTTAATATTTAAGCTGTATTATATCCTTAATTAATCTGTGCACTTTTTGCTAGTCGTCCATTTTGTTTGTCTATGTGGCTATGCTCCTTGTGTAAAATATTATAATTGACAGGTTGTTCATGGTCCTCTGTATGATCTATAACCCCAGATGGAACTTAGCAGGTAAAATGCTGCCATTATCAATCCCAGAATCTAGACACACAAATATGAATATTTTAGAACAGTCAAATCTTTTTTCCTTAAAAGAATAAAGTACTTACTGATGCAATTACAAAGTGATTTTGTGGGTTACGTCCGCTATTATCATTTGCATCGAGCAATAGGAACACAGATGCCAACAACAAAAATACAAATCCAGCGCCATGATAAATGAACTCCTGCAACAACATTGTTTACATTATTCAAATAATTTTTTTTAATTATAACTAATAATTTATTTTACTTAAATCTATTATCTAATAATTTTAATTTGTATTTCATTAAGCGTACACAGTACACCAATACACATCGAGTTATAATATTGAATATAAATTTTAGAATCTAGAATATTCATTAAATTTAATTTAATGTAAGTACCAAATGTGTAATTATTAGTTGTTAATCGTCCATGTAAGTTAATTAAACAATGATAACTACTAATATTTGAGTCGGTAGATTGAATAAATAGGTAAGTAGGTAGTGAATGGTTAAGTATTTATTAGAAAATACATTGTACCGATATGTATTATATAATATAGTTGATTACAAATTATATTCTGAAGTTAAACACATAATACATGTATTTATGTTGAACATTTTATAATCAAGTTTAGTATAACATCGACAAACTTTAATGTAATTTATAAATTATTTAAAACTGCAATAACTTTATTGTGATGGTAAAATGTTGACTATTCAACTGTCAATGATATTGCCTAGGTAAACGCCTTAATAAGTAAATTATTATTTCTAAATATAATTTACATCAATATTCCTTTACGTTCTTAACATTCTTTATATTATGAAATAAAATCATGTCCATAACTACAAATAATATATTACAGATACAATAATTAAATACTTACAAAATTAGTTTTAGATATGATAGGTCCTGTGGAAATGGATAGCAGACAAGAAATCAACAACAGAAGACTCGTTAAGAAAAACGCACTAACTGTACCCAAAAAAAAAAGTTGTGCGTTGTGCGTGCCATACACCCAGCAATGACATAAGTTTTCTCTGTTATAAATCAACAGACCCAAGACAATGCCTCCTAAAATCTGGAAAAAAAAATGTTAGTTATTTGTATTAGTATACCAAAACGTTTTAAATTTTAAATTTAAATATTACCTATTAATATTAAAACTAGAGTCTAGGAAACTATTATTATTAGATCCTATACCATTTATTGCAATGAGGTTCTAATGTTCTATCCGTTTAATAATCATTATATTATAAATAATTTTGATCCACATTTATAAATCGTATATTATTGCACATTGGCAGTTGGCACCTATCTGAGTGTCTGACTGTTTACTGTTTAGCTATTTGGGTTCATCCGTAATTTTCGAGTATACATCTTAATTGTTATACTGGGTATGTATGATGTATATGTACACAATACCTACAGCTACCATGTTTGACCACATCAATAACTTTTGTTTCTAATTAATATTTTTGAAAATAAAAACTACATTTCTAAGTATTTTTTGTTTTCAAAGACTTGAAATAAAACTGTTGTTACTTGCAATCACGTGTCACTTGAAATGATGAGGTACCTATCTAATTTATGGTCTTATGGGTATAATTTAATTACCCTCAAAAAAGAAATATTTTAAGAGTTGAGTTAAGTATATTAATTTCTATGGTCAAGTATTCACATATTATTATTTACGTACCTACGTTTTAAAATAGGTATCTATAGACAAGAGAGGATGGGTATGAACGAAAATTGACATGACGAGACACCCTGTATCAGTTGGGACTATTATTTTTTATTTTATTTTAAGCCTAGATGGGTATGGATTATATTTAATCACTTCTGAAACGCCAACCAGCTATAATATTGTGTCCTTGATGTGACACATAAAAAAAAATCGTCATCCTGAGGAATATTTATTACAATAATCAATATGCGGCCGCCAAGACTCCCAAACTGTTCGATATACGTATTTAAATGTTGAACAAATGAAAACTGGCCACTAAACCACTATAGGCCTGCAGACGTAGTTAACACGATGTGCATCTTATTGTTAATTTGTCGATGGTGTAAGTTTTCTTATAAAAAAAATAGTCTGTTGATGTATTGTGGTTTTTATTCCAAGGACGAAATGAAAACCATTTTCCAGTTCGGTAGTTACAATAAAGCTAGCTGTAGTACATCGTATATTGTGTGTATAAAAATCCTGTCTGGAGGGGAGTGTTTGGCGCCACAGCCCTTCCGGACAACTCTATGTATATATATTATCGACTACACGTTTTTCAATAAACATTCGTCCTCGAGACACACCCTGGACACTTGGCCTAGATATATTATATTAAATTTAACTAAATCCATACGATTACACATTATACCTTATACATTGTAGTAACCAATGAAATGTACTTATTTCTCTAATAAATTAATTTATTTGAATTAGCTAATACAGTACATTTCACTAATTTGTTGTTTTATTTTGATAGAAGTATTTCTTTAACAAGAAAAAATGATAAATCAAACAAAAATATATTGTATTATTATGACGTGTTGTAATTATTAATATAATGTAGATATACCTTATTTTGTCCACGATGAACTTAACAGTTAACGATTTAAAAAATTACATTTTGATACCATACGTCCATACCTATAGGTACCTACGAATTTGGTTATGCTAGAATAAATATTAGTATATTTAATTCATAATTCCAAGAAAAAAATATTTTACGATAAATTACGTATTAGCACCGATCTAGCTGATCCCCGGGCGCGTGACATCATCCCATACGATATTTTGGCTTTTTATCCGTTTATTATATAGTCAACATTATGATAACATTTTGTGCCCACCCCTGTTTACTATAATATATCAGATATAGGCACCTATACCGAAACAGTTTCGTGGCATATGATTTCATGCCCAACACATATTAGGTGCAAATGGTGTACGCCGGCTATAACCGGTCTTAGAGCATATTAATAATAATATTGTACATACCTACAACATAATAATTTATAATAAAATGACGTGATTTTTAAATGATTGGAGTTTTTCTTATTTATTTTGTCTCTACGCAAGTTTTAAGCGTGACGTAAGCGGCGGTTTATATAAATTATATTTATAGAATTCGTCCGATGATCTTAGGGGTTATTGATCGCTTTTTTTAAATATGTATTCGTAAAATACGTATGAAAAAAAAAAATGTTAAATATTACAATACACTCGAATTATTTAGAATTTTTGTTATATTATAGTTTTCGAGGCCATATACGTTAATGTACGGCACAAATACACAACTATTATATACTTATGATTAGTCTGAACAAATCAAATTATTTGTACAATTGTAATAGGTAACATTTGCATACATTTTGGTGGTCGTGGTGGGATGGACTACTGGCTATTGCACATTGCACATTTACACACATGAAATAAATATCGATATTAATCAATATTGAATCTTATCGTACAACATTCAACATGTTTAATATTGTTATGTACCCATCTACTCAATGTATGATCAAACAATATTGTTTATGTTTTCGTGTTTTATTCCATCCATTATTTTACTTTTACTTTAGACCTTATTTCAACGTTTATAACTTAAATAATATACTATTTACAGGCTATATCTCAATATTGTTGAGTGATATTTACAATAATAACTAACTAATAACTAGCACTCGTATTGATGTCTATTGACCCTGGTAGGTAGATAGATCTATCATCTATACGTCACAAATATCCCGAATATCGGACAACTTTGCCGTATTCGAGCTGGAACATTTACTGCCCACTTCTACGTTAAATACTATAATGTAAACTATACTTACAACTTCGGCCAACTTTAATAACCCAGGCACCGATTTCACGTAACCAGTGTTCAGGATTATAGCAGATGTTGTGGATGTTGTGGTCCGGGTCACTGTCACCGTATGAGACATTTCTCTAGATCTAGAACATCGAGTAATAATGTAATATGCATAAGTATAAGTATGTATACATTTATTAATTATTTGCGATTACATTAAATCCGAACATGCAATTAACGCTTAATGTAGGTATATATATTTCCGAACGAGATTGGCAGTGCAATATCACATTTTTGGGGCAAATCAAAAACTATTAGCAATAATTTTACAAATGTTCAATACCTACTGTTCAACTGTGAATATTAAATAAAGTTTAACACCACTTCATGGTTCATGAATCATCTAAAAATTGACTAGGTATCAGGACTATTATAATGATATATAACACTATTCATCTCCCATAACGAAATTGGAGTGCCTATGTATAGGCACACAATACGTTAAAATGTTATCAATTATTAATTTATCTTATACGAACAATGAATACATTTTCCATAATATTGAAGCCCTTGAATTCGACAAACGAAAATGTAATATCTGGCCATATAATATTAATTCTATAACCCATTCCCAGCTATAATTACATTTAAATGGTATAAAATTGATGTTAATATTTACAACCCACGTCCATACGTTATTGTCGGCGACGTCGTATCTTACAGTATAGAACAATTTACTGAGAATGTTAACATTTATTCATGAATATTAAGAAGGTTTGAAAATGATTACGTCATTCTATATTATAAACTTAACTCGAGTTTATACCATTTCATAATCGTGTAATAGCCCATTGCCATTTGCCATACACTGCAGCACATAATATAAATATTTATTTCATCAAATGGAATTTTTCATCTCTTAATTTTAAACACTACAGAAATAATTGATCCGTTTTATAAACAATTATTAAGCGTAAATTACGGTTATTAGATACTAAATAAAATAAGTAGTGACATGTTGGATTAAAACAGAAATATAAGCATTATTTTTCAGTAAAAAAATATTTTTTTTTACATTTTGCTACGATTCACTTTTTTTTTTTAACGTTATATCGTAGATTTCTATATTCATTCGAATATGGTCATGTTCCAGTGGTTCAGTGTACCTAACCTATACATAATCGTCATTTGTCTACGTTATTGTGTCACGTTTTTCTCCTCTGTCTTACGTGTTCGTATTTCGTGTGTCTATATATATTTTAACTAGGTAACTATAGGTAGGTACGTTTGTTATATTATTGTTTATTATTTTAACCACATACACGCTGCAGGATGCCTAGATAAAATTGTTGGACAATACTACAATAGGGTTTTTCATTCAATGATTTTCTTCAAATTAATATTATACAGTTGTACAATACGGTTTATAAAAAGAGACACACAAAATATTAAAACTTTAAGTGTAGGTAACAGATGCAATACTAATAATGGCGAATAACCTTAAACTCGATGACGACACTAAACACTAAAACTTGGTTATTATATTTATGATAAATATATACCTATCACCTTGTACACTTCTACGGTGTAATATATGACGTAGGAGTGAAAAGTGCATTTCTCATAATCATTTTGCTTTCGTATAAAAACAAGCCAATGTTTATTTTATACAAATAACAAGTTTAAAAGTTTTGTAATAATAAATAGCGCCACACATTTTCGGAGAATTTAAACTATATATACTTCTACGATAAATTATTGTTAAAATTATTTTTTTAAGACTTGACAAATTACAATTTACAAAAAAATATGACGTAATGAACACATTTTTAGAAAATTTAAAATACAAATGTTGTTATGATGTATAATTGTATAATACTATAAAAAAAGTAATATAATATTCAGGCAACTAAAGGGACAACCGTCTAATTAACATATTATAATAACTGAATAATAGTTACGGTGCACCAAAGTAATTTTTATATTTTACTATTTGTTTAAGTTCAAGCTATTAATTATGACTGTTTATGAGTACTAAAATATATTAAATACTAAATATATACATATATAGGTGTGCTAGCATGCTGTATTATGGATATATTTACACGCAGGGAGATATTTTTAACATAAAACTCAATAATTATTACGCAGTTCAAATTTAACACATTTATATACTTCATATAATATAGGTCGTTCCAATTAGGTTGTACTTGGTAAATTAAGTACATTTTTTTTATTACTTTGGAAGATTTTGTTTTTTTTTTATCATACTGATGATTGTTGTTTTTATATTTTATTTTTTTATGGTGCTTAGCGATTTATTGTGTTTTTAATTTTATATACTGAAACAGAATATTTTTCTAAAAATGTGAGTGCATAAATATTGATTTTTAACTATTGAATCAATAGCTTAACTATAATTTATAAAAACTTTATGTTTTAGATATGTTCCTAAAACGACGTTTAACACGTTTGTAGTAGTAAAATGATACCCCTCAAAATTTCATGCCATTTCATTCCGAAACTTTAAACGCTATTATAAATAATAAATTATGGTATTGGCTCAATAATCGATATTTCTCATTTACATGAAAATTGAATATAACATAATATTATCCAGAAAAGTACTTTGCTTTAGAGTTTAAAATATGGCCGTTCGCCATATAAAAATATAAAAATTTAAAAAAATCTCTTTGATAAATAATAAAAAAAAAAAATGGTAACAAATTTGGTTTTTTTTTGAAAAACATGTGATATTATAAATAGACAAATAGTATTCATTAATCATATAATATTATAAAGTAGTTTTATCAAAGACATGACGTTTGAGTGTTTTTTGTTGCAAAAAATCCCTTAATATACTTTTGTAAATAATATGTAATTAAACATGACATTTATATTGGTATGCATGACAGTTTAATTGGAAAAAATAGATTCACACGATTAAATTAAATTTATTCGTCATTTAGTTCATAAACGATTGCCAATAAGTAATAACTATATTATATTCCAATAAAATAAATGGGAAATTAAATTGTTGAAACTAATTTAAGATATTATCATGGTTTTTTATTTTATTTTATATAGTATTTTATAGATGTTAGACAACCTATATTTTTTATTTTTTACACAATTACAATTGTATAATTTATTAGTGATTCTCCCCCTTAAATGTTATATATTACAACTCAATGATTATTTTATTTTGTCTGACATTGACAATATAATAAAACGAAGTCTTATCGAACTGTGTAGTTATTAATACTTATTATCCTAGTGCCGATATTTTATTATTATTTTCATTCATGTCACGCTGTCACAATACAATATATAATTTTACATTATTGTCCAAGGGAAGACGTGTACACTTATTTAATAAAATTAATTATCGTGCAAACGCAGTCAAGTAAAACGAATCAATAGTACAGGAATCGGAATAAAATGCAATGATTCGTTTATGGAAAAAATGTATTTTAAAATTAAATATTATTTAGAGGAATTTAATTACGGGGTTAATATTCTATAACAAACACATATACATTATTATAACGAATAGGCAGATATGAGAAGGGGGTAAGTGACTTGTGAATTCTCACTGATAATCCTTGAAACCATACTATACAACTATGTAAAACCATGTAGATTTCAATAAACTATTGATAAACAATTTGTACACAGTAAAAAATATCAACAAATCTCCAGCTATGTCACAATAATATAAGTAACTGATTATTAAAATTAATTATGTATTCATATTTCATATTGTTCAAAAAATGTTTTATTATAATATTCTATTATACAAAAATTGATTAAATCAAATAATTACTGTTTCATTGATTTTACTTCGACTCGAGGTTGAACAACTTTAGTACCTGGGTACATATACCATTTGTTTAATTATTTATTAATTTACGATTAACACAATGTATTTAACCAAAAAATATAAACCGTTAACAACTGTATTGTTGTTATTATTTACGTTCAAGTAATAATTTATTAATGGTACCAATATCATCTAAGCATAATATATAGATTCAATATTATCTAGTTCCACATTTTCAAGTCTTTAAACAAATATTTGAACCAATGAAATCAATAACAGCTCGTGAGTCATAATATTAAATATTAATGCTAAGGATTTAATAAATTAATAACTGTTTATCAAGTAAGGTATCACCAAATTGGCATATTATCTAATTCGACATTTTTGCGTCTTTGAACAAATAGTTGAATCAAAGAAATCAATAACGGCTCGTGGCTCGTGAGTCATGATATCAAATATGATTCAGTATTTTTAACTGTTTATCAAGTAATCAGTGATAAACACCATATACCACACCTATATGTACACAATAACAGTCATAGTTGCAATTTTAAATTGACAGTCGATGCTATAATAATGACGCGTTATGAAATTGATATTATAAATATCGTGCTCGTTGCCCATAATATGTAGCTGGAATTTCAAACAATGAACTATAAAACCATTGATATATATAAATTATTAATATTATCGAAGTTTAAATTTAATTACTGGAGAAAAATAATAAGAAATATAATTCGTGCACAAGGAGTGAACCTCTCTAAATAATTAATATAACACAGTATGGTAAAATGCATATTTTATTTATGCATAAAATATTACATACCTATATACAGCGTACCTAGTACTATAGGTAAGCGATTTATGTAATTATTTTTATAAAATACATTATGTATAAAGATAGGTACAAATTAAAATATGTTGTTAATTAAAACAACTCTGAGAATCATAATATTATATTATGTAAAACCTATTTAAAATTACTGCCGACAGGGATGTATTATTTTAAATTAATTGAGTAAGAATAAAAATCAGTAGGTATTTTACATATAGGTGCCTGCAGTTTATTTCGTCACAACTCATAGGTGATAATTTAATTATAATCCGTTGAAGGGTGGAGTACTTCTTAAAAAATCAAAATATATAGGTATAAAATATATTAAACGATAACGGTACTGTATACGATCCGATTAGTAGTTGATAATAATATAAGATACAATATACATAGGCCAAATTCGTAAGAACTAGGTCAATAGGAGGATCCTATATTTAGATGATGCTTGCAGCGGAATGCTATCATGTGAACAACTATATGTATATTTTAATTTTAATATTTTAATACGTATAAAGTTTTATGTTAAATGGCGGCTATCCAAGACAAAAAGTTTTGGAATATGTCCACGGTAACCATGAACTCAACGCCTCTTTTAACTTAAAAAATATTGACAAAGTTTTAATTACAATCCATGCATTGATGCGGTATTCAAGCACACAATATCACAGTCATATTATAATAGAATAGATACGACCCTATAAAACTGTACTAAAAAATTAATTGTAATCGTTTTTATCTAGAGTAAATAAAGTATCTAGAGTAAATAGTAATTATCACTTAATTTATAAATTAATTTAATTTATGGGTTGAAAATTAATTATATTATCTTTAAATAATATCACTGATTTCTTATAATAGGTGTCTAAAAATATGATGCATTACTTGTTGCTATTACTAATATTTCTATGGCACATTTATTATTTGTCATTTAACTTCCATGCAATTATATTTATTTTTATTTTGACAGGAAAATACTTGATTTATGGCTTGAATAACACCAGAAAATGATTTTGAAAAGTTTTCTTGACAAACAGGAATTATTCACAAAGTATCGTCAATAAAATATAATTTTAGTAAAAACAATATTGAATAGGTATACTTACTGTTATGAATTAGTGCTGGAGTCAAATTACTATAAAAACGCAATATTTTAACGATTATTATAATATATAAGCATCTTATAGGATCATAAGCATTGCAATACCTAAAGCACTCCTAAGATTAAAAAACGTAGTCTATAATAATATTGTTTACTTTTAATATTAATCATAGATTCGCCAGGTCGGAGATAGATATACTGTTATCGTTATGTCTACATAATATAATTAACACTATGAAACAACTTCTGATTAAAACAACATATATTTATACATGCATAATATTATTATTACTAAATTAGTGGCAAGTAGGTATATTCTGCGAGTAAAATATCTTACCTATAGTATATTTATAGAGCGATAGTTTAAAAAAATTATTCAATATCTATACGATTATAAAGTATTAATGTATTGTGTTTTGTTATGATGCACTTTGGAATTATTGTTGCTATTATATTATTGTGATAACCACGAGACAAATAAAATAAAACTATCGATCAACTTTCCGAGTGGTGACGAGCGCGCAAAACTTGCGTGATTGACGTCCAAACGTTTACTGTGAAAAGAATACAGTCGCGAACGTCGGACACGGCGCGTATACAGTGACCATAAAATTCCACTCTTTCCAACGCCCACCGGGCTTTTAAACACGAACTTGTATTCTACATAGGCAACCGTCACACCAAACATATAAATTTTATTATTATTTTTTTTTTTCTGAGCACTCCCCGCCGTCATCGAGAAAGTGTTTTTTTACAGACCGAGAAAACCACCGTTTCGATCACTGACAATATTATATATATATATATTATTATTATATTATGGACAATATTACTATTATATGAGTATTATACCTATATTATATTGCTTATATAATAATATTATATACACACCTGCAGCGGACTTCTTGTAATTTTATTTATATAATGTGTTATCATGTCTTTTCAATTCCTATAATATACAGGTACATCTCGTTGAACTCAAAAGCTGTGATCGCGTGACGTATATCTATCTTAATCGTGTCATGTACATAAGATTACAGTGTAACAATACGGATATATTTATAATGTTATTATGATGTGACCGCACGTGCCAACGCTGTATAACCGACGCCCCAGCGATGTACGCAGATTTGGACTTAAGCGCAGTTAAGCTGATTTATATTGAGCTTGCAAAATGTCTCGTTATTCGTACATTTTGAACGGACTTACGATTGATAGGAAGTCTCACCCGCCTTATTTGTAGTAAGTATCCATCTTACGAGCTGCAGTGCGTGACACAGAAAATTTATCACTCAACAGATTTATTGGCACCGTTTTTAAAATATTTTAATTTTGAACCGAACTGTGAGCAATATGATACACAATTTTAATACTGTGCACAAAATATTAAAAAACGTGGTTTGTACACTAATACACAATATTATGATGTTATACCTTTGGGTTTGATAACATAATTAATATATAGGTCAATTCATTCTATATAACATTAAAACCAACGAAGCTAAACGCGAACTGCGGAGCGTAAATTTGCCATGTGCGCACTTGCAGCAAGAAGGAGAAAACAAATACGGGCACGACGTCCTCATAACTTGGCATTTAATTGATATAGCTATAGCTGCTGCTGCAGACGCCGATCAATAGTAATATTATCGAATCCATTGAAATATCACCAAACCCATAATTACCTCCACCAGCAGTTTCCTGTAGTACATCGAATAGATGTGAGGGGAACTTTACTCCGTCGTTGTTAAAAGTTATACATCATAAGTAAATAATATAATATGATATAAATATTGATTTCCCAGATATAATTTAAGTAAACAATAATTTCCATATGCTGAGACGGCCAACGCAACGACATTCGTCAATCTGTGTGAACTTACTTACTCGTATTATAGCTAAAAATTAAAATTAAATTTGACTTGTTCGTTACAACTTTATAAGAGATTTATATCCCACATTCCCACAAGCCAATGCTTTTCAACCACTTAATGTACATTTTATCAATCATATTAGTCATATCCTGTTCAACCGATTCGTTAATTATGTATCATTATAAATATTTTATACTAATTATTAAACTTATCTTATATTAAATTATCATTTTTATTTGTTCTAATTTACTAATTGACTTTTTTTTCTATATTAAATCTAAGACTGAGTATAATCATAATATATACCTACTGCAGTACAGTCTGTACTTGAGCAGTTGTGCCCTCGTAGGCGCTTACATTAATAAATAAATAAATAATATTAATAATAACTCATTATTCATAAGTCATAATATGCATTTCTTTAGGTACAACAAATTATTATAAGTATTACTATTTACTAGTATTAGATATATTTTCCATCATCGAATTCCCTCGAATCAATAAAAAATTATCATTTCACTAATTTACTGTTAATATTCTCCTCGAAAGCACTGCTGCATTGAATATTGATAGCACAATCGTACTTTATGGTCTAGCTAAAACCAACTAGCTAACTGCTAACCCACATTACAATTTTATCTTGGTCAACATTTCAACAAACATAAAATATTTAATATCTTACCATTTTGGAGTAATTCTGTATCAAAATCAACTGGGTCCGACCCGTACATTTCTTCAAAAGTACAACAAAGTTATCAGTGACTTAAAATTATCTCACCCTTAATTATAATCGATTTAATAACGCCTCTCTGGCTCGATATTGTTCAGATTACAAGTTGTCCGATGTCCAGTACGTATAAAAAGAATTGAACAACATTTGTATTGTTTTACTGATTTCACTTACTTCAAAGACTCAAAGTCAAAAAAATATGATACAAATATACAATTTTTTAATTTACACTAACTTGAATTTCTTTTACCTCAATAATACAAAATAAAAAGTAGGTACTGACTTAAATTATAAACCTTAAAACGGTTTTTTTAATCGTTATTGAGACAATAAATACAATAGGTACTATTATTATTGAATATTTATTTTACTTATTATTCAATTAGTCGTGGTGGTTTGTTATCTTCGACAATCCAAGTTTCCCCAGTTTTTCCATGTTCCAAAATTGTAATCAAAGCGTTCCCAACATTATCTGGCCTAGTGGATAAATTAACAAAACAAATATTATTTTTTTTTTTAAACGTTTTGTATTGGTATACCCAAATAATATTGCTATGTGCATACTAATTACACTAATTGATCACAGCTACGGATTTTTTTTTATTCACGTACACCAGATAAATATTTATAAAGCATAGATGTGTGGTTTATAAGGTATTAAGTACCTAATAAGGATATAGTTTAATTAGGTATGTACTTTAATATTTTTAGATATTTTATGGAGTATGGACACATAATAAAGTCGCACTTGACATGAAATCTTGTTGGATTCAATGGTTTAAATTTCCATCAATCATCTATATTCTATATAGTCATGAGGACTTAAACCACTTGAATTTTTTTCCTTCTACTATAAGCACGTACAATTGTACAAATAATACTTTACAAATAAGTAAAAACTGCAACAACGCCGAAGACAAAAAATATATTTTTTTTAAGGACTAAAAATCAAGTAAAAATTGTTTTCAAAAACATTTATACTTTTTAAAATATGAGTGATCGAAGATTAAAGAATCACCAGGCGTATACATGTACCTATGAAGTAATAAGAATGTTGAAAAATGGGTACCAGTAGGTGGGTTATAGAGTATCAGCTTAATATTCTTCCTACCAAGCACGCTAATCCCTTTTTTTTTCTTCAATAATGCAGGTATTTTATATCCGATTTTTTTAATTTTTAAATTTACTTTAAGATCATATTTTCAAATTCTTGAGATTTTTTGTACTTCTTAGAGAGTGTCCTGTGGAGGTATATACTTCTGTTTTTCAAATGAGAACACCCCTGTTCGACTATAAATTATGCAGTAGATCTGAAGAAATAGAATTTTCTGAAATTGTTAACGTATCAAAATAAAAATGTACTTAATAATAGTTTTTTAGTTTTTTAACTTTGTGTTCTAATAATAAAAGGTTCATAGAAATGTCAGTACAACACAGAATAGATTAAATAGTAATGTGTTTGTAAGATATGGGGGCTATGGTGATTTTAAAATTGTAGTCATTTATATTAATATATAAATAATTTGTAAAAATGTTCCAAGTATAATAAATACTAGATTCAATTTTAAATCTTTTTATATTGATGCAAAATCAGTTTTAAGGACTATTATCCTTAATACAAATATTTTAATAACTAAGAAACTACTAATTCGAATTTTGAATGTGGAACATCAACATTTTCAAAAAAATTATCGACAAATTAATTTACAGTAAAATAGGGAAGTCCTAGTTTGAAAAACAGAAGTTTTTATCACCACAAGACACTCCTTAAGTAGTACAAAAAAATTCAGGGACTCGAAAATATGGTATTTCAGTATATTTAAAAATTTCAAAAATCAGAATTTGAATAAATTCATTATTAAAGAAAAAATGGGGGTGAATCACCCTGCGTAATATGGTTATTAGTCATTCCTGGCAATGATGGTGAATCTGAATAACCATAACAATTAATGTTCCAAACCATAATTACGACTAATTAATCAAACACGAAATAATTGTCAAATATTATTATGGCCCATAATCCTCAGATGACAGATGCTATTGTTCAGTGTTCTATGCAGTAGTATGCAATGGTTACTTTACATTATTAAAACATTTAGGCATATATAGCCTAAATAACCTAACCGTGCTGTGACGTTGTTCGTATATAAGGTGACACGCAAACCATACGTTGAACCTTGAGTAATAAAACTTTTTTAAAACGGTAATCGTATAATTTTCGTCACTATATAATGATAAACCACCAGATGGCATTATGTATATGACAATAGTTTAGGAACTCGTCAATGTTATAAAACTACAGTAAGTTAGGTACGTATGTATTTAAACTTAGGTACAACAAGTTATGGAATTATAGCTAAGAATTACTGTATTCGATAATTTTAAACAAACATGATATTAAATTGTGTATATTTAATTATGATTAAAATATTGAAAAGCTTAAAAATGTAAATACAAACTAAATATTTTTATACTTCGCATATTTCAATTTTGACAGCCTCTACACAGTAGGGATTATAGTAGGTACCAACTAGATTCACTTTCCTATCAGAAAAGATATCGAGGTTGAAGATTTAATTCTTTTTACTGCTCAGAAAAGTACGGGTGACTTACACAAACAGAAATAAAACAAAAAAACACAATATCATTGTTTAGTGAATACATTCACTCCGCTAAGAATTTAAAACATAATAATAATATGAATGATCATATTATATTTATTTAAATAAAAACGGTGAAATCATCAAAAATGTTTTGTGTGGTGTATACTCAAATATGTGTAACCCGAAAAGTGACTAACAAAAATAGGCGCTGTACTGCAATTTAGTGTTCACTGTGAAGTATTAATATAATGTTTAATGGTTGTATTGAATGGATACTCATTTCACATTTGATTCGTTTGTAGTTCGCACACCCAATAATGCCCCTTCTCGGGGACGACGCACCATAAACTTATTTTATTATTATACAAGCCCAACTCTAGCCACTCCCCGGGGACTTAAGCATCCGATCTTGTGATAATAAAAAAAAATTGGCACATTTGTATAAACATGTTTGTATGAACCTAGATATTTACGGTTTAGTACATATTATACAGAGTGTAACATTAAGGCCTGACAAATGAAATAACTTTTGTTTTAATCAATATTTTCGAATTTTTTTTTTCATATAATTTATTGACATGCGCTGAATGCATAATATAACATTTTTTATTTTTATTTTTTGATACTGAAAATAAAAAATAAAAATCTGATGTAAATTTTTTTTTGAAAAATTTTATGTAACCAATTTGTAAATCTTGTTTTTAGAAAAATATTAAATGTAAAAATATTTATTTAAGACTTGTTTATTTTATTTTTTGAAATCTTGTTATGTTTAAATAAAATCGGTAGTTGTAAAAAACATTTTAAATTCAAAAAGTGTAAACTTTTAAAAATATTTTATGATAATTTTTAAGTAGGCACGTCTTATTAAAATCCATCTTTTTTTTTAAAGTTGTTACCTACTTTTCAAACTAATAATTTTTCTTCAAAAACTATTGACGTTTTAAAAATCATATAAAATAAACGATTTGACTTAAATAAATGTGTTTAAAATCAAAATTTATCTAAAACCCAGATTTACAAATTGGCTATTTTGAATGTTTTATTTTCAGTATTAAAGAATAATTAAAAAATGTTATATTAAACATGTAACGCAAACGTAATAAATTATACTTTAAAAAAAAAATTTAAATATTGATTAAAACAAAAGTTATTTAATTTGTCTTGTTACACTCTGTATATTATAATAATGCATAATGTAAACAAACTGTGACACACTGACACGGTTGCGTTCTTTGAAAACTTTGGGAAGTTGTTTATTACTCTTAAAAATATTCTAAATCTTTTCCCGGTTGAGTACAAAGATTTTAGAAACAATATAGGTACTTAAGTGTATACATATTGAAATAAAATAAAAGTTTTACTTACTTTTGCATTTTCTTACTCTGTTGACTATTTTTTAAATCTTCAAGCTCCTCGACACATTCTTCTGTTTTGTGCAGTGTTTCATTTTTACAGACCGAACTTACACAATTAGTGGTAGTAGATTCCGGGCACAAGGTAATAATTTTAACACCATGAAGACTGAAATGATTTTTTTTCTTCAAAGTTCGAACATAGAAACAAAATCACTAATTATATTATAAGGCACGTCATATCGTGGTAAATACTAAATAGAAAATAGTAATATTAATATAAAATGCAGGCACACGTACTCCAAAACTTTTCGTAAATTCCATCAAATATTTTTTCGTAGACAGGTACATGGGACTACAATGATAACTATCGCTGTAAACCAACAAGGAAGACGTCTGTATCACTGTTCCGCCACTACCTCCATTGGAAATTCCCATATACTTGATCGCCAGTAGTGTACCTTTGACGACTCCGCCCTAAGAAAACACAATGTTGTAGGTATCACCAAATCACCAACCATGTTATAAGTCTTAAAAAATGTCCCTATTTAGTGCATTAAACAGTTAAAAGCTCTCAGGATTAAATAGAATTTTTTCTGTCGAACGCGTCACAGCTAGTCACTGTTTAGTGCTTTTTCTATGCATGTTTCGCGTTGGTATACTTTGTATACTCTGAATACTCGGGGAAAATCAAACAATGTCCTATTGCAGAGGTATATTATCAACATATGTTGTCTCTATAAATATTTACGTTTCATAAACTTGTCGAAATAAATAAGTAGGTAGCGGTTGCGTAAACAAAGTCAACATAATATTATACTAAAAAGTAAATATGTACCAATGCACACAATCAAACACTTTAAATTACCACTTGAACTCACATAATTAATATTGACTGTAGTAGACCATCGCCGTTCAATTGAATTGTCGAAAACGCCAGCGTTGTTAATAACAATGTCCAATCGACCAAAATGTTTGATACACGTTTTAAAAGCATCTAAAAAATATTATTGAATGACATTAATTTTCAAAAAAGAAGATGTATCATTTTGTGGACTTCAAAATATTCCAAGGGGTATCACGTGGACATATTATTACTAATTTAAAAACAATCTTTACGTAAAATCTATTAAATTAAATTAATAATTCTATGTCGTAAGAAAAACAATTAAAAAAATGTTTGATCTTCTCACTTTCAAATTCATCTTCATTCGTGACATCACATTTGGTTGAGAATATATTTATATTTTGGAATTCTTTTTGGAATTGATGAGCTATAACTTGGCATTCGTCGACATTAATATCACAGAGTAACACCTGAATTCAATGTGTGTCATGTTGTTATTTGTAATGTATATGGAATAACATGGTTAATATGAAAAACTGAACACAATTTATAAAATATATAATTTGTCAATTTTTGTTTCACCTACCTTAACTTTGTTCAGGAGTAAACATTTTACGTAAGCGTACCCAATATTCGATGCTGCACCGGTCACCAAAGCCACTTGATTTTCCAGGCCCATATTTTTTTTTAAATTATTTAAAATATTATATTCTCTATAACACGAATATCACAATTTTATAAGCCTCGTACTTAGTGCGAGCTGCTCAGTAATCATACTAGGACAACAACAATGATCGTGATGTTCAAACTTTATAACATTTTTCAATTTAACTTAATTCGGAATGATAACAAGCATATTGTTATTATAACAGAGTTTCCAGTCCGTCTACGCGATATGGATGTGTATCAAAGGTTATAGTTACTGATAAATTATAAAGGTATATCGTTTATACCCAATAAAACCATGAACGAAAATATAGGTACCTAACAGTGTTATCTGATATTATACCTATTAAACGTGTGCATTGATAAATCTAGAAACTTGGCCAACAGAAACATTTGATATTATTTTTGAAGCGTGGTTTGTATCATAGACATTTCTGTTCGTACTACGTTTTCTTTATCAGACAAATATTTATTTAATTTTAATTTTTTAAGTACCTACATCTACAATGTTATGGTATGTACCTATTGTACCTATTGTATCTACACCATACTAAGAATAAAGTAGATAATTTTATTATTAAAATACTGAACTGTGTGGGGGGAGGAGAAGAGGTGGGGGTAAATATTAGCTAGGTTTAGGTGGTTATTAGTTTTTATATTATTTATTATTAGGTGGTCCCAACAGTACATCCACTGAGGCCATGGTGTAATGTTTATAGTTGTGATCGATCAAAGCTCTTCAGTTCCTATTAGTCATTTATCTATCTAATCTCAAAAAAGTATTACTCGATAATTTAAGACGTATACGTTTATTATTAAATTTTACCTTGCATATCAATGTTGTCATTAATTTAATGTAAATAATATGTTTGCTAGGTAGGTATGTTGAGGTAAATGTTGTACCTAAAATAAACGAACAAAAAAAAAACTTCGCACTGAAATAATAAAAATAATAGCGAATTTCCACTGTGTAAAAATAATAAAATATAGAATGTCATTAATACGCTATAATGCTAACTTAGTAGCGTAAGTAAATATATAGATTATAGACACATAATATTATATTAGCAGTAAGCAGTTTGTAGTACCTACTTACATATTTTGACGATATACTTACATAACATTCTTATCGATATCGTCTCAAGGACGTGATTTAATCAAGTAAATATGTAATAGTAACGATGCCAAAATAAAACGCTGATAAAGACTTCACGAGCGGCGTGAATAGAGGTGTATAATCGGAATCTAATATTTAAGTGTAAACCAACAGGAAAATTACATTTTAAAATTAAAACAGGTGTACAGGTAATAATAATAATAATATGGTGGGAATTGATATAACTCACAATTATTATTATTCCGCACCGAATGATTATGCGCGACGTTGCCATCTCTGATTCCGAAGCCAATTTAAATAGATATATAGGTACACCTTTTGGAAAGCAGAGGTTTCCGTTTTTCGTTACAATAACAGACGAGAGCATAAGTCGTACTCGAAGACTGAAATAAAGTAATTTTTGACCGAGCGCGGTCATATTGTTAAAATAAACACCTCTGCAGGGTTAACAGAAGAATAAAAATACGAAGTGAAATCGAAACAACCTGACGTCTATGAACCCCGCTGCTTCATATGAAAGTCAGATCGAACAGCGTATATAGGTACATGTTTGTTTGTAGAAATTATGAACGGTTTACGTACTGTAGTGAGCCACGGCCGTAATCGCCATCGATAAACATGAACAATATCAAGAACTCGTTTTTATCACAAAAATGTTCGGGAAAAAATTCTCTATCGATTGGCGCAAGAACCAGATACGTCCGATAATTGTTATTGGAGATATAATAGTTGTAAAACTATTTTTAATATTATTTTTCAGTTGCAATAACCAGGTATGTCGTAATACAAACTATTGCCGGACCACGGTTATCTACTCGAGTAGGTAACCGTGGTCAGGACGTATCATGTTATTGCTCTAAACAACAACTTTAGATATTCTATCCGGTGCAATAATCAGGTAAGTATGTACAGATGGTTTCTTTATAAACTGTAACAAAATTAATGATATATAAATATTATTAAATAATAGGTACAGGGTACATTTACTATAATTTATAAGTGTAAAGCTAACGTAAGTTGGGGTAGTTTTTGTCTTTCTCTTTGAATGGCATCACTGTTTTTAGTGAATTTTTCTGGATTATTTGCTTTCTGGTTGGTTGTAATAGCCGGGAATACCCATAATTGGAATTTTTTTTAGTTTTTATAAATCATTATTGGGAATATAGCATGAACAATGAACACCAAAGGACATTATTTTATTGGCATGTCATATTTTCACACATAGCATGACATCACGTTTTTAAGGTCAGGTTCATTTACCAATTTGTAGGAAGTTTTTCTTGTCTCCTGAAAAATTTGGACTTCTGGTTATTGCACCAGTGCCTACGATTATACTCAATTTGATCGATAACACCGAAAATAACAGACACCAGTAAATGATCGGCGGCCGCTGACTAACAGATTTGGTTGCCAGAGTTCAGGAAGTCGCCGAGAACTTAACGTAAGTTATTTTTATTCTATTTAATTCCGGAATAATCCCGACGCTATTTCGGATATTTTTCCATAAAAATGGTTCGCCAACTATTGTTTTGTTCGAATATAATATGTGTACTTACAATCTTCTACTCTAGGATGACTCCAGACATAAGGTGACCCCATATTGGTATATTTATAAAAAAAAATGTAGAGATAAATGTTGGTTTAATTTTAAAAAAAGACCTCCCCAAAACTGTATGATAGTTTTTATTATATTTTTATAAATGTTTTGGAGATAATGTCTGTCTGTTAGATGAATTGTTTGCTTACTTTCGTGTTGGTCGAAAGGGTTACGGTCGTGCAGGTTCATAATGATTACATTGAGCGTATTACACAGTACAATATTGTTATACTACGTATCTCGTGTTTAACTCTAAAAAATTGTTTATCGCCAATCAATCCTCGTTCAACATTAACTGTTGTATATAGGTTTTATTTTCTTTGGGTTTCAATATTTTAATACAAAACCGTAAGCATAATGATTTGTATTTATTTCGTGTGACGTGTAGAGGTAGATTCTTTTACGCACATATTATAATGTGGAGTAAACGGGACATCATCTTAAAACGAGTAAACAGCGCCCGGTTTAAATTGGACGAGGGGACACTTGCTCAAAAAAAGAACTATCTTGTTTTAAACGAGACTTAGGGTCACCCTACTCGAGTAGATCACGTAAGTCTAGTAAGTTTCTAGATTCAGAGAAAAAAATATTAAGAAAAGTCGCTCGGTAACGTCATTATAAGATACTACTTTATATGCACATGTGTAGATATGTACAGACTTTACAAGGAGTTGTTGCATATATCCCCATTTTTGATATTTGTGGACCTAATCTAATGTCATAATTAAGCCACTAAAATTTAATTTCGAACACAATAATATTGTGGATACCTAGTTTGTAAACATGTTATTAATTGATTGTATTATAATATACAGTTAAGGACGAAGAAATAGTTTGGCATATTTTTATAATAATATTATGCTGAGAATATATTATTATTTCATACCGTCAGTCGTCACAACAGAGAGGCTTTGTATTGAAAAATCAGTTGGTTTGTACATGTTGTGAGTACCTAATAGGTACTAACTGAACAGCAATACATGATTATTGTTATTATTATTATTATTATTATTATTATTATTATTGTTGGGGAAAATTCATTACAATAGTGAAATAATGATTATAATTTTATATTTTTAGAAGTCCCACACATTCCTTCTACCAAAAAACAAGTAAAATATCTATGAAAATTGCCAACAACAGGTCTCGTTAGTACTTAAGTTAGGAAAAAATTAACATTTTTGAAATTTTTTTTGACCATTTATATGAATCGACGAGCCCAGTTTGGAAGATCGCAAAACTATCTTTCCCCTTTGAAATCCAGGTCACACAATTGACGCTTAAAAAATGATTTCCACGATTTTTGGTCTTAAAACTAACATTTTCGAATTTTTTTTGCGAAAATGTTACCCTCTAGTTCCCTTATGTTTTTAACTTAGTTATCGGAAATTTTCCTCCACAAAATTGAACAACAATAAAATATGTATGGAAATTGGCAATTGCTAGCAACCGGTCTTGCCAATACTTAAATTGGAAAAAAATTGACATTTTCGAAATATTTTTTTGCCAAAACACATAGTACCTATTGATAGATAAAAATAGCCAGTTTAACTCAATATGTTAACTTTTGTTTTGGTTATTACTTATAAGTTAATAAGCATTAAGATAACACCATAACATTTAGCACTTGGTAACAAGTCCAGTGACGAGAAAATGAGAACCACTAAGACACTAACTGCCTGATGTACAAAACCAAGTATCAAGTATAATAATAATAATGTTTCATGAGATTTATTAACGCAATAATGACCTGACCAACCTACACGACTTCCACTCTCATATTACACTATTTTGTTCATTTTTCAACCTCTTTCAACTTTCAAGTCTCGTGTCCATAACACGCCATGTTATTGGACAAACATCGACACGATTTCTATATTCTAACCCGACCACTTGTACTGGGCGTTTCGACAAGATATAGCCACAGGTGCATGTAGCCGGGTACGAAATGAAGAGACAGTCAAAAGAACAACACGCAAATGTTAATAACAATACTATAGTTATTATAATAATATGTACAACATCAATGACCCGAACATCAGCACCCGGTCACCATCTTCCGGTTGCAGTTTCACTATGTCAGCATGTCGCGCTGCCGGTTAGCCGTACGTCGTAGCAATGGCAGTGCAAGTCAACGATTTTCAGGAACACGGCTGCACTATTTCTGTCGTTCCAAAGTGGCCGATTTCTGGTGGACGCCAAGAACAGGTTCCGAAGCCGACGGGCCACAACATCAGCGTCACAAGGAATATATCAACCCAGCCACGCAGTGCCAGAGGCGATCGGGGCGAACACCCGTGAACAACAGACCATGCAGTGCAGTCCTTTAGCCACGGCCGAGCAAACTGCTTGACCAGCGGCTACAACACCCGTCCGATACGTGCGATTCAAAATGATATTACGTATCGAACTCCGTCGATTGATTATTTTGCATTTGCTTCCAGCGGTGCAACAATTTTCGGAGGGAATTATGATATTGTAAAGAACAAAGTATCACGATGTATCATATAATAATTTTTAGTGAAAATTGTATCGTTGCTATGTGCAGTGGCCATTTTTAAATATTTAAAATTATCATTTTTTACGTTATAAATAATTATCATATGCTTAATAATTATGTAACCCCGAAGTCACTAAATACCCTACAACAATAATGTAGTAGTTTTAGTACGGTCCCGGCAGCCTGATTGACAATAACTACAGGTGTTTAGAAAGTACATTTCTAATTTATAGAGAAATTACAATCTTTCAAATAGTAAAAAATGAATCAAAACACTTATAATTTTAAATGCATACTTATTTTTAATCGAGGACACCACACGTCTTATTGTTGTCCCATATCTTATAGATTAAGCGCGTATCATTGTAGATTTATTTTCAACAATGTACGTTGGTGTAATATTATTACATATTTTAAAGATTAAGACATCACCTCTATTCTTTCAAATGTATTCAATGTTTTTATTTGCGAAAATGAGTTGTTAGTTGCCACATTAAGCCGTAAAACTGTTTGATCATTGAAGTACGAATACCGAATACAACGAGAGTAGGTACCTACATACGCATTGTAAGTATACGCGTTTTGTTTGCTTTAGGGAGGAACCCGTTTTCATTTTGTCTTTCGTGGAATATGTAAGGTTTAAACAGTTTAATGTTTTTTTGACAACTTCTTCTTAACTTACTCGCCATTATGTTACTATATAGTATATACTATTAGGTATTAAAGTATTAGTATTTTAAACCGATAACTATTATTGCTATAAGTCATATATTTTACGACTGTGTTGTCTTGCATAATATCTGTATTAACGTTATTTAGTATTCAGCTATCGTAAATAATGTATGCACAACTGCAATACGTATACAAATTTAAATTTAAATTTAAAAAAAAATCGTTACTCACTGCCCTGTTCTGTGTGCCGCTTTTGGATGAGCATAGGTGTAACATTCTCGAATAATGACAAGTCCATGCAAGAACTTATAATTATCTAGTATAAGTATAGTGCACTAAAATACTATGCCGTTATGCTGCCGTTGCGCGTCGCATCGGTGCAGTGCAGATATTAGATAACCACGATACGGTCATGGCCATCAGAAGGTCGACGGCGTGTCAATAACCCATAATAATATAATATTTCACCCCTCTCCGCATAACAGATTTTTTTCAATTCAGTCAGCTGCACATTTTCAAGTATCGAGGACGCAACTGCGTATGTAAGTTTTTTCAAAATGTCGATATATACTTGATTTGTTTTATAAAATATGCCTTAACTGCATTATGAAATATGAAAAGCTTGTTATTGGCTATAACGGTATTTTAAGCGACAAACTAAATTTAGTAAGAAAATAATATCTTTCAAATTGTTATACACGTAATAAAATATAATATGAATTTCATAAAAATTCGAAATGTTATAATATATTTCAGTAATATTAGCATATTAACTGAAATAATACGTCATGATATTATAATGACATGGCGATTTTGGTTTCAAATTGTTC